ATAAAAGAAACAAACAACCCTGCTGCCAGTCTCTTGGTGACTGTCAAGGCCAAAGGAAAAAGATTCTTTATTGCTGAGAGCATATTTCCCCTTTTACCAATATAGTCATAGTTTATTTGGAAATGTATGGGGAAATATATGAACTTACCTGAAAAATTTGCTCTCAGATGAGTCCAGCTGAAAGCCTCAGCATGACAACAAACATTCTTGATTGTCCCAACTACATGCAGTATGTTTTCATTTAAGTTCAGAGGTTCAAAGAATGTGACAGCTCAGCAAGTTTTTGAAGTGTGGGTTTTAAGAGTGACTTCCAGCTGATACGTGCTTCCCCAGGGGTAACCAACTATGTTTCGAAAGCCAGAAGGTGATCTGACACACTTGTGTCCCTTAATTCTTGGTAAACTTGTCAGGCTGCTCTTGGATATCAAGTGGTGCCAGTTCTACATTTTTAGCAGTACAAATGTTACATTATTGAAGGAGAGAAAGGAAGAGAACTTTTTCTCAACTGGGATCCATGAAAGCACTACCAGCCAAATACAGTGCTAACAGAGGGGGTAGTTGAGGAGGATTAGATGATTAGTTCTCTCTTATTTGTAGGCCTGATTCAGCAAGATCCAATGAGGCTACGCAAGATGCTTAAAGATAGACACATGCCCAACTTGTGTCTCAGGATCAGACACGTGTCCAGTAATCTCCTAAAGACCTGATGCTTTAGAGGAAGGTCCAAGAAACCTCTCAGAAGGCATATATGACATAATCTCACCCCCTTTCCTTGCCCTCTTCCCTCTGGGGGTTTCCTCCCAACCTCTGTAATGCATCAAATTTAAGTGTGTATAAACCTGAATAATCTTGTTACCCATGTAAATTCCTAGTTCTTCCTTAAATCCTGCTAAATTTTTGAGTTCAGTATCATGAAGTAGCAGGCCTGTCAGTGGGGGCAGCGAAGGGGGATTGGAGCTCGGTCCGACCCTGCTGCTGCTGTGGCAGCCGTGGAGCCCGGAGTTTTTTAAATTGCAATGGGAACACCATGCAGCGTGCTCCAGGCAGCTCTTAGGGCTGCCTGGAGATGCAGAGGTACCATGATGTGTGCTCAAGCAGCACTGAGGGGACACACAGTCCAAGAGGTGCTGTGGGCTGGCTACCATCAGCCTCCCCACCCCTTCTGCCGGAGGCCCCACCCCTCCCACCCCTTTTGGGAGCATAGAGCTGCCCCTCCTTGCTCAGGGCCCAGCATGGCTTTCAGTTCCTCTGTAAAGTAGCAGAGTGTGCCATAGTGCAATAGCGTGTACAGTGTAAAGAGTATCACATTGCTGAATCGGAGTCTGGATTTCTCTGGGTTTGAAGAAATTTAATATTAAATGAAAGTTGAAATGGATATGTCATTTAAAAACAAATAAAGCTACCTTTTTTTCCTATTTAGGATGTCAAAAACAAAGCTGACAAACAGATGTTGATGATAGACCATCAGGATCTGGTGGAGCAACTCCCAGAAAATGTATGTGTGTTTATATTTAAGGGAGAGTTTGGGGAAAGGGAGTCAATTGAAGAAATTGTTGCATCGCAATTTACCCTACACCAAGGCAGTTCTATAACTGATAAGAAAGTGAACTAATCCCTTTTTTGAGCCCTGAGTGGTTTAAAAATATCCTTGTCTTTAAATATGTAGAAATGATCGTGAAAGACTGTGTTAAGAATACATTTTGCTGTTTTTAAGAATTCAGTATTTCATCTCTCGCATACATCTCTTACACCAAATGAGAGTCCATCAGACTTTCTTTCCAGGCATTTCTAGATTCTCAAACCTACCCAACTTGGTTCTCTTAAAAATACTAAATATTTATAAACTGACTTGTTCTATTGCCAATCTCATTAAAGAACTTCATACCTTGCTTTACCCATTTAGCTCTTGCTGATTTCACAAGAATACATGCTGCCTATGTATTTTTTAATATTAACACCTGGACTATTTTGATTTTTTTCTTTCCTTTTTTTTTTTTTTAGGTCCTCACTCAATTAAAACAATCAAAATCTTCAAACAAAGCACCCATCAGTTTACATGATATATCCTTGGCACCAACACCTTCTTATCTTTCTCCAGAGGCAGAGTTTACCAGCCACAGTGAGACCCAATTATATCTTTCTGCAAGATAGCCTATATTAATGACAAAGTTATACTAAAAACGTAACAGCCAGTTTTGTCAGACTTGAGCTATAGTATTCTACTATAACTGGGATTGTTTTAGTACTCCTTAAATGCATTTTGCTGTTGTTTTTTGTTTCTTTGTTTATTTTTTGTTCCAAAGGGTCAATGTAACCATTTTTCTAATATAAAATGATTTAAAAAAATGTCCCGTTATTTAATTTTAAAAGTTTGAAAAAAATCTTTCTATCTTGATATCCTATTCAATGGGTAAACAGTAGGGATGTAAAAAATGTTAACATTAACCTTGTAACTTATGGAAATTTCATCGGTTACACAATTAAACAGGCTCTGTTCCACGCAGACTCCGGGATTGTGGCTGCCGCTGGCCCCGCATGCTCTTGGCTGCCTACCCACACTCCCTAGCAGAGTTTAAACAGTAACAGGATCAATAAGCATCAGCTTATCAGTTGACCAATGAACTGTTTAAACACATCCCTAGTAAACAGTAGGGTTTTATCTCCCTTTTTGTGATGAAGAAGATAAAATTACAAAAAACTTAACCATTGATTGTTTATTTTTTGTTTGCCAGAAGGATGGTTATCAATAATAACAGAACTGCACAGGTATTACAAATATTTTGGGCCACTTTTGTGTTTGGATAATTGCCTTTGGGAGCTGAAGAACAAAAGTGTTGCAACTGTATATGTGAACCATGCTTGTTCTAAGAGACAGGTGGATTTTAAAAAATCCTGAATATAAATTTGAAAAATCCCTGCATTTCACCTTCGTGACACTGCATTGTCACAGTGTGCTTTGTCATACTGATCAAAATTATACATGTAATTCATATGACTTTTGAAAGCCAATTGCACTCCAGTGTCTGATGATTTTAGGTCTACTCCAACATGATTACATAGGGGTATTTTGTTCTTTACTTAATAATGTGCATCCTGATTAGTTCAATTATATGCACATTTAATATTGCTGACTAATTTATTTATTTTCTCTTAATGTTTTAGGCAATGTACTGCCTCCTCTGTTGCCAGTTGATCCGGCCACATGCCCAATTGTTCCTGGTCAAGAGATGACTATAGAAATATCCAAGGGGCGATCAGGCCTCGGTCTCAGCATAGTAGGAGGGAAAGATACTCCACTTGTGAGTTTGTTAAACCTTAATTAAGAAGCAGAAAAGACAGGGAAAAGCAATTTTTTAAAAAGAAATAGCATATGTCCAATAGCCCTCTACTAAATTATTCAGTATTGAAATAGTATATAGCTGCTTCCATAATAAACTTGGTAGTCTTGCCTAATATGCAAGATTAAATATTTAATATTTCCTTTTAAACTGACAGTTAACTACATTTTCATGATTGTCTTCCATTATCATCATAATTGTGTATTATGTACCCTACTTTCTAAGGTTTAAATCATATGAATTAAAGGATTCAGTGAGTTCCCATTGCTCACTTTTATTATTCCAAGAATGAGTTCTGTTTTACACACAAGCCTCCTCCTTCTCATTTTAAAAAAAAGTAATGGAATTTTAAATTATTTAATCTGAATTGTCTATCAGGGTGACAGAATCACAAAGTGAACGTCATGGTTTTGCTTTGTGCTAACAACTGTATATTTTAAAACCACAAATGCTTATTTTATGCTCAGTTTTTTAAACAGGACATTTACTAAGCCCCTACCAGTGCCACCCTGAGCTGGACACAGATCAGCAAAGATAATCTTATTTCAGTTATATGTTCCTTTGTTTAGTCTACCCCTTCAGATATTCTGCTTTCAAAGGTTGCTTTTTTTTGTCAGTAACATCCAAATTTATAATGTATTCAGCACTACTGAAGTATCATTAATATGCAAGTTCAAAAGTTAACTGGACTAAACCTTTTCTTTCTTGTTTGTGGTAGGTGATTTACTATTTAAGTTCTTCATGCCTTCTCTGAGAGATAATACTATAATTTAACAGATTATCAATATAAACTCTTGGTGTCAACAAATTTAGTCTAGAGTTTTCTGTAATAACTCTGTTGCAGTTTGCATGAGCATTGGGTCATCTTGAATCTTGAGATGAAGTGTATTAATCTGATTGAGTTGCTTTGTATGTAATCTCTTTACATACAAGTTATTCAAGAAATTACAAAATAATACATCATTAAGCAGGAAGGTCTCTTACTATCAGCAGTACTATCAGCATTTACTACAATCTGAAGCATTTCAGAGGAAGTCACTTAAGCAAGTGGCAGCCTATCCTAATCCAGAATAAATCCTTCTTGAGAATTTCATAGTAATTAAATATATAAAAATTTCTTCTTAGGGGCAAACAAGAAAAAAAATAGCACCATGCTCCAACTTCAAGAGCTGTTATAGACTGGGTGTGATGGACCCGCCATGCTTTATGTAATGGATTTATGGACACAAATATGCATAACTCAAAGATGTTTGTAACAGATTACCTCATGTAACCTATCAATCTTAATGTCATAATCTGCTGGGTCTGTGTATTTTATTTTGGTCTGTATCATTTGGTATGTATCATTCTTGTGTGTAAAGTTAGCTATATGGAGTATGGAATGCTTTATGATTTTAAAAGTGTAAAGGCAAGCCATCAAGGATGTATCCCTCAAGGTCTGGTCAACTGTAAACAACACTTTTGTCCTTTAAGTGATAACAGTGGTTGTTCCTAGGTAGTCATATGACCTCCCTAACTGGTAGGGGCTGGCCATGTAACTTCCCATGAAAGGCTGGAATGTAGAAATAGAATTCCCCCCCAAAGGTGGTGTCTATAAAACAATGGGTCTGGGGCTGGGCTGGCACACCCAGGAGATTAACTAAAGACCCCAAGGAGAGGGAACTTCCCTGGTTTGAAGGCTTAGCTGGAACAAGAACAGTTTTAGGGTGAGTTTGTAGTAAGTTTATAGTGAGGTTTTAGAATTAGCTAAGTGTTTTCTGTTATTTTAAATTGTAATCTTGTTTGCTCTGCCTGTTTTCAGTTATAACCTTTTAAATCCTACTGCTTATACTTAGTAAATAAAAGTGATTTTACTATAAAGCCCAGTGTAAATAATTCTTACCTAGGGGATCAATCAGTGTGTACATCCTCCTTTCATTGCTAAAGGGAGCTTGCCTAAATATAGCCACTCCCCGACTTACGAACACACTGATTTATGACCATCCATACTTACGACCAACCTTCCATTAACTCCATTATAATATTTTCAAGGTGAGAACCATGTACGTCAAGTTTTTCTAAAAGCGCGGGCAGCGCGTTTAAGGGTATTTCTGACTTGTAACCAAATCGAGTTACGACCAGGTGTTCAGAACGTAACCCGTTCATAAGTCGGGGACAGCCTGTAATTCATTTGGGGTTCTGATCCCATTTGGGGAGCGGTATCCTGAGAACCTGGGCCCAAAGCTGCATTTTCTTTGGACCCAAAAACTTTCAGTGTCTGTACTAGGGATGGTAAATATCAGTTAATTGAATAGTCGAGTAACCTCATGAAATTGTATTGGTTAGTCGACTAGTCTGTAGTCCCCAGGGCCGACAGCCAACGTATCAGAGGCAGCAGCGCGGGGTGCCAGGCGGGAGCTGGTCTGCGAGGGGAGCCAATTTAAAAACCAGCTCCCCTCATGGACCGGCTGCCTGTCGCCCTGTGCTGCTGCTTTTGTGAAAGTAGCAGCAGTTCCTGTCTAGAGCGGGGTCTGAGCTCCCGGACCCAGCATGAGCTGGAACTGAGCTGGGCTGCCTGCCCATCTGGCTCCTAATACACTTTAAATGCAGAGCTGCAGCAGGGGTAGATCCCAAACCTGTCCTGAGCCAGGACTGAGCCAAGGCTGCTGGCCAGCCTGCTAAAAAGTTTACTGGCAGGAAGAAAGGAATGAGTGTAGTCTGTAGTATTAAGCTATTAGCTTTTCCTTATCTGTTAATCGACTATGCTATTACATCCCTAGTGTGTACTGCTCGGGGTGGGGTGGCAGTAATCTCAGCTCTGTGCCGTGGCCCAGGGGAGACCAGCTGAGCTGGTCCAGCAGGACAGGGTAGTGGGAAGCTCCAGAGAACAAGCAGGCAAAATGTCAGAACCTTTGTCGGCACTCTGGGAAGTATCCCCAAGGAGTCTTCTGTGTCCTCACCCCATCACACTGGGTTCTGTGTTTGTTAGGTTATTTATTAAAGTGTCAATCTAGAAATTTGCAAGGAAAACAATTTATAAAGTTACTGACTTGCTTCCAGCAACAGAAATGCATCTGCATGAAATAAATGTTCAAACATGTCTGTCTTTTTAAGTTATAGAACCTGCCAAAATAAATCTTAGCTGGTCTTCACCTTGTTCATTTTGAACATTCAAAAGCATACAGTATTACTTCATAGAAAGCACGTTGCTCTTATTAGATCAGAGACTGGTCTGCTAATTTATTGTGAGGAACGAAGGGATTCTTTCTTCAATTACATGCACACAACCACTTTTTGCTTCAGTGGGACATGCATATGCATAACTACAGACAAAGGTGCCAGATCTTCAGTTGGTTTATATGACACAGCTGAGGTAATGGAGCTGATTTATACCATCTGGTGACCTGCTCTCCAGTATTTTAATATTTGTTACTAGGGCAAAGAGATGATGATTGTGGTGTGGTGATGAAAACTGAGGGAATAATAAAACAAAACCAGAAGCAGGTGGTGGGCAATACCACCTGCATTTGTTAGAAAAATGTCTAGCTCTTTGGGATATGTGGTAAGAACAAAGGAATGGAACTGCTACTTCTCTTCTTTCTTCACTTTCAACCCTGTGGCATAGGTGGGTACATTTTATATTGGTAAAGCCAAAATAATTCACTGATAGCATCACAGGTTACGAGTTATTTAATACTTAGGGCCCACAGATATCTGCAGCCACTTTTATGAGCACAAAATTGTGGTGTCTGTGGCCTGTAGTTTTCCATGGTGTAATTTGAAACTGGTATCCACAACATGGTTGCATTTAATACTTAAAAAATATTTTTAAAAACGCAGCCAATGGGAGTTCTTGAGGTCAGGGAGCAAGAGAACAGGAGCACAGTCAGCTAGGCCTCCTTTTATTCTGCACATTCCCATGTCTGAAAGGGATAGGGACTTGCTGCCTAACATCCATAGAGAACTCTATATGGGGATAGGCAAGCAATGGTAGAATAAGAGCAGGCTTGTGCAATGGTACTTCCTTTCACATCGAAGCTGCTGAAAAATTCCCCTGCGCACTACTTTCTCAGAAAATGGGACAGTCACACTTATTCCTTGTTTCCTTTTCTTCAGCATTACATTTGATCCTCCATGGCTACGTCTACACTCCAGGCTTCTTGTGCAAGAACTGTTTTGCACAAGAGTTCTTGCGCAAAAGGTCTTGCGCAGGAGCGCGTCCACACTGCAATGTGCTTTTGTGCAAGAGCATCCATGGCAGTGTGGACAGTCTCTTGCGCAAAAAAGCTCTGATGGCCATTTTAGCCAGAGGGGTTTCCTTGCGCAAGAAACCCCTGTTCCCTGTCCACACTGCCTTCTTGCACAAGAGCTCTTGCTTTTCCTCGTGGGGAGAGGAATAACTCTTGCGCAAGAAGCCCTCTCTTCTGATGCTTTACTGTAAATTTACTTGTGCAAAAACACACATGCAGTGTAGATGCTCCGCATGGTTTTGCAGAAGAATGACCATTCTTGCGCAGAAAGCCTGCAGTGCAGATGTAGCCCATGTATTTTGTGAGTGGCTAACTTTGTGGAAACATTCAGAGAGGGGGAATTATGTAGTCCTTGAATTGTGAAGAATAGATTGTTTAGTGATGTACCTTGGCTCATGATAAACCAGTGATATGTCAATATCACAGCTGGTCCACAAAGAGCTTGTATCTTTTTGCTAGCGCTCTTAAATTAATCTAGAATGAAACCTAGGGTAAGAACACGAGGACACCTAGTCCAGTGTGTTTTTAAATACATTTGCAGCCAAAATTCTTTATTTATTTGCTGTACCAGTTTTTTACTGTTAATAACAGAGACCCACAACAGCCGTTTTCATGGATTAGAAATGTCCAGTTCAAAATTCTTTATGCTTATGATACACTGCCCCAGTTTTTGGCATAGTAAATCTAACAGCACTGCAGAAATAGGCACCACTTAAAGATGAAATACAGTCT